TGTTCCTCTAGGAATACTTGATGTCTTAGAGTCTCTTGCAGCTCAGTGACCAGGGAGCTCTGTTCTGACCAATCAAAGATAATCCCTAAGCGGGGTACTCTTTAAAGCAATGAAACGAATTTCTGTTTTTGTGTTATATTTTTCCGTGATTCTTTTATGTGTTCTTCCTTATTTCTTTTTGGATCTTGGAAGCTCTTGGACTTGCACTAACAGCTGTCTTGTTACCACAAAGAAGACAATTTGACCACATTTCCACAATATAAAAGAAGGAAGAGCAGGAAGGTATAAGACTCCTTGGTTCTTGAGGTCACGGTAGAGATGTTGCACCCACTCCTGTTTGCCCACATCTGATTGTGTCACAACTTAGGAGAAACATGATCTTACTTTGGAATCCACTGTTCCTTTGGGTTTCCTGGTCTTTGTGGCTGAAAGCAGCTGATACATGCATTATAGAGCTTTCAAAATCATTTCCAACATGCTAAGTACAATTTGATATCCCAGTGGAGTCTGGGTTTGCATTTTTCATACAAACTGGGGTCAGAATGATTTAATGCCTAAGAAGCACTTGTATTTATTTTCTATGAAGTGTCCTTTTTTTTTTTTTTTTAACCTTTTTGGCCTATATATTTTTTGGTTGGTAGCATCTCTTTATATAGTTTGAAATTAACTCTGTCATATATATTCGAAATATTTTTAGACTTTGTCATTCTCTATAGGGTTCCTTTTCATTTGCAGTTATTTTTATGTAGATTTAAAATTTCATTGTCAATTTCTGAGTTTTATGTCTTTCCCACCTGACATTGTAAAATTCAGTCTTGCGTGTGTTAGTTTATGCTCTGTGCTGTGAGTCAGGGTTGCCTTTCCATCTGCTGCCACTCACCTTGAGGAGGCTGTGCCGTCCCAGGGAGGGCTATCAGGATCTGTACCAACTGGACCTATGAATGGCACATACAGGGCTCAGAATATAGGTAGGAAACATGGCCGTAGATGGAGCTGTTAGAGAAATTTCTAAGTGACTTTGGGGCCACAAAGGAACTCTGTGTGGTCTGTTTCAGCTCCTCTTCTGTTGCACTGTGCTGTGCTTCAGTCCTCCCCAAAGCACACACATTTCAGTGTAAACACAGAATTCCATTTCCAAAGCCCCTTATGTCTGGTCTTGCACCCAACTGACTTGTACACCCTGGGAGCCCATGTCTCTTTTCTTCTGAGAGACATTCAGATCATGCGTCGGCACAGGAAGGGCTGGACCCCAAGATGAATCACACTCTTGGGGACCTGTTCTTGCTACAATCTCATGCACCCGTAGATGCAGATGGGTGCATCCTTCTGGCCATATCATTATCTGAGAGCCCAGTCTGTGGAGAGGTGAAAGTAATTCTGGCCACCATTTCCTGAGAGCAATAAATCTCTTTACTCAATAATGAGGATCAATGGGAATTCTGACTGATGGCGTCTGGTAATAAACTTGACTTCATCTACTTAAAGGGTGTGGACCAAAAGATCAGATCCCATATGCTTCACATGAAATCCCAAAGGAGGGGCTTTACAAAGGCCTATGCCAAGGAGAGCCTGTGATGCTCACATAAGACTCTCAGTACATCTCCCTGGAGCATCAGCGGCTGTCAGGTTCTAGGCTCAGAACACAGGTAGCCAAGGATCTTAACAGAAGCCAGAACTGCAGAATTCAGAGAAACAGAGAGTACAGTGCATGAATGAAGCGTATGGGATTTGCGTTAGCCTTGTTGCTCAATCGTTTTTGACTTTGAGTAAGGTAAATTATCTAATGTTCATTTTTCTCTTCAATGTATATTTCTGTAAAAAAAATTGAATGGTAACAGGGAGTAAAAGGATTAGTGTGACTATTAGTTATTATAATGGATGAGTATTTCTTAGTAATCAATTCATATTAGCTAATATTTGTACAGTAAATCTTTATGTATTTTGAGAATACTATCTGGCCTATAGGAGTTATCCAATTAATAACAGTTCTATGAAGTCACACAATGCTGCCTTCAATCCATCGTAAAAGGGAAGAACACATTAGTGTTCTTATTTTATAGAATACTGTAGTTTGGTCCATAGGATCAAAGTGTTGCCTCCAACGATAAAGGTTGAGCATCAGCGAAGCTAGACTGGAATCCCAGAGCCCCTTTTCCAAATCACTTCATTGCTTCTGGCATGGGTCCCCAACCCCTGGGCTCAGTACCAGTGTCGATCCGTGGCCTGTTAGGAACTGGCCCACACAGCAGGAGGTGAGTCGTGGACAAGTGAGAATTGCTGCCTGAGCTCCACCTCCTGTCAGATCAGCAGTGACATTCGGTTCTCATAGGAGTGTGGACCCTATTGTGAACTGTGCGTGGGAGGGACCTAGGTTCTGTGCTCCTTATGATCATCTAACTAATGCCTGATGATACGAGGTGGAACCGTTTCATTCCAAAACCATCCCTGCTCCCCCATGGAAAAATTGTCTTCCTCCTGTCCCTGGTGCCAAAAAGGTTGTCTCCAATAAGTGCCTAAATGAAGTCAAGTGACACTGTAGAAGTGGTGTCCCCAGTTAAGTGTCTAATTGAAGTCAAGTGACCCTGTGGAACAGTAGAGGCTTCATGCCCTACTTGAAGGAGGACAGGACTGGGGCAAGGAGGGAAGTGAGAGAGCAAATTCCAGTGTGGAGAGGAAACATGAAGACGTCCAGCAGGACGCTGTGTAGATTGTGCTCACTGGCAGGAATGTTGTCAACATGTTTTAAATGATTTTTATAGGAATGCGGTCGTGTGGACTAGACACATGCGCTGCCTTATCCTCATAGATGTCAGGCTTCTTCTATGAAGTTTTACAATAAAAATGTCATTTTGTAATAAGATGTGGTGTTAGATAGGATTAACTAACTTAATCATAATGAATTTGCTGATCTCCTACCATTTGTTAGGGAGTCATCTGTGCACTGTGCTCCGACAATGAGTGACACATGCAGCTCAGTTTCTGGAGCACGGAAGGAAACGTTACAGAAAGCAGGTGAAATGTACAGAATGTGATGGTGTGAAATTCTACAGTTTAAAATGAGAGAAGAGGATTGAGGTTTCCAGGGGGAACAAGTTGCAATTTAAAATTGAGAAATCAGCATAGCTTTCAGTGGCAAAGGGAAGTTTTGCAGAGACCCCAGGACCTGGCGTGCAAAGCAGGTGGTGGTCTGGGCAAACTGCAGAAGCCACGTGACGGAGTCAGCCCGGCCCAGTGGACAGTTAGGAGCAATATACAGAATTGCAGCAAGGACCACGTGACTTCAAGTCAGTGGCAGTCACAGGAACCCAAGGAAGGTTGCCTGGCCATTGTGCTCTCAATCTTAATATGTGTCCTGCCCTGTCTAAAGAAGAGGTCGAGCTGGGCCAATTACTCTGTCAGACATAGACCCATTTATACTCCCTAAGATCTGTACTGGGTTCCCCAGCTGTGCAGTGTCTCAGTGGGATTCCTGGGCTGCCTCTTCAGACAGGCAGAGCCTCAGTCCCGGGCCAAGACCTGCTCAGAATCTGCATGAGGTGGATGGGGGGAACACCTGCTCCTTCCTCCTGTGGTCTGAGCACTTGTGGTTGGTGTTGCTGGTCACAGAAGTATCTGGGCCATAAGATGATTTAATCAAGAAAGATGAATACTCCATTTGAAACACTGTCTCTTTCTTTGAAACCTGTAATCTGTCCCACTCAAACTCCTTGGGACATTTTACCAGTGACCACCCACTACGAGTAGCCATGGCTGAAATATAGTTTCTTTGTCAAACGTGTGTTTTGAATTCACTGGTTTCAACTACCAGATCCAGAGTAAATACGAGGGGCTGACGCTGGACTCCTCCCCGGGCTGTGTGGTCATGTCCTGAAAGGCCATTTGCAGAACATGTTGGACAAGTGCTCAGCGTCAATGGGAATCAGGGGAGAAAAAAAAAAGGACAGACAAGAGGAAGGGTCACATCTCACCCCAACAAGATGTCAGCCTGGCCCTCAGGGACACTGGGCTCAGGCAGTGACCCTGTCCTCTTGGAGGGGAGGAGAAAGACAGGCTCAGGAAGGTGCAGACCCCACCTGTGCTGTGCCTGGTGGGGAGGCTGCAGGTGGAGGCAGGACAGCAGGGGGCGCTGTGGCCTTCCGGGCAAATGCTCTGAGCATCTCAGAGGGTGCTCCTGGTTCATTCCCTTTCCCCAGACCTGGTTTCCTGCTCACTCATGATGTGCCAGATATTTGGGGTATCAGAGCCTCAGCGCTCTGCAGCAGCGACAGGAACTGAAGGTTTCTGCTGAAATGTTTTTTGTCTCTTTATTTTTCTCATTGCCCCTTTGAGGCTGTATTTTCCAAGCAGGATCATGTTCTCAGCAGCTTTAAGGCAAGCCAGGAGTGTGCACGCTGCAAAGTGCAGAGGAGCATTTGTGCATGTGCGTTTTCTAGGAGTGAAGACAACTCTATGGATGTGGAATCCAGGTCTTAGTAGACGTGGCCGGCAGGCGTGTTTAATAAGACCCCTCAGTGTGGGCTGCTGCTCTGTCTGTTCCACGCATCCCGTCTTCGCTAACCACCCATTTCCCTCTTAAAGCTGCTTCAGTGGATCTCATGTAACCCTGTGTGTTAAAAGGCAAATATATAATCTGGGATTGTTTAAAGAATGATCTCCAATTCTTTAGCACAGAGGATGGTGGTTTTTCCTAAGAAGGAATGATTTAGTGACTGCATGAACTTTAAGCTGACACTGATTATTTGTCCAGCACATGCCAGTTCTTTGATAGTGGATCCAGAGAAAGTGAGGCTGAGTGAAAAGGCAGAGCAGTGGACGGGGAGATCGGTGTTGTCATTTGGACCTTCGTTTCAATTTGGGTCTGAAGCCCAAATTCCTGTTTGAAATTCCTAGAATTAGGAATTTTATTTTGTTTGAAACTTTGATTTAGGTTTCTGATACGTGTGTCCCACGTATGTTGACATAGACGCACATCACACATTATAGAGGCGTAAACACAGAGAGCTTGTTAGAAGGCATTTATTTTGGGATGAGGAAAGGAAACGGAGGAAACAGTGCAGGAGTAACAAGGATGTCTTTAACTCTCAAAGTAAATTTTGAGCTTATTTTCATCTGCAAGCTCAGCGGCAGCATCTTAAACGAAGAAATCCGCAAAACCCAGATGGGCGTTCTCCGAAAAAACAGATTACCCCTCTGCAAACGCAGCGTGCGCCTCTGCCTGAGCCTGCGGACGCACAGAGAGAATCAGAAATCGATCACCAGGGTCAGCAGTGGGTGGTAAAGGGAATGTTGGGAAGTCACGTGCTGGCTGATGGGTAATGTTGGCTGCATTAGGACCAGTAGCACGAGCAACCTCCGTCAATAGGAATAAATACACAGAACAGTGCTGGTCACACAAGATTCGATTCACTCATTCTCCTGTGCTCTCATTTCTGTGCTTCTGCCCCATTACACACACAGCTGAACACACTCTGCGGCTTGGCTCTGCTTTTTAAAAACTATTCCATAAATAGAGCAAAATATTCTCCATGTAATTAAGTCCACTTGTTTATATCCAGATAGAACTAGTCAGACTGTCTCTTCATATCTTAAACCTACTGAATTTCACAGACGTATCCTGGAGTCAAGTCTTTATTTTTACTTTTGTTCTTTTTCTAAAGTGAAAGGATTATTTAAAAAGCAAAGGAATAAAAGAATGACTACTCGACAGGCAGAGCAACCTCAAGTCTGTTGGACTTACTTGGCTCTCTATTCGATTTATAGATGAGAAAATCAGGGCCCCGAGCTGCTAAGTAAAGCCACCTCAGTGACATCCGCCACTGAGACTCGATTCCAGAGCCCGTTTCCTGTGCGTCCCTCTAGACTTTGCAGCTCTGCGTGCTGGCTTCTCTCACCTGAAAGCTGACGTGCGGCACCTTCATCCCATGCAAAGGAAACAGAGGCTTCCTCTGCGTCCGCTCCTGGCTGCTCCTGGGCTGCAAGCTCGTCAGCTCTTGCCTGGAGTGGCTCCGCCTGGGCCCGCAGGACCACCAGGAGAACGGCGGCAGCGAGGAGGGCCAGGGTCCTCATGGCTGGGTGACCTGGAGGAGGGAGAGCAGGAGTGGATGTGTGGGGAGTGAGGAGTTAGCCTGGACTTATAGCTCTGCAGGGAGAAGGCTAGAGACAAGGAGCCTCGAACCTTCTGAGTGAGCGCAGGTGTGCATTTCGTTGGAGACTGTGTGGGACCCCGCTGGTCTCCATGTCCCTCTTTTCCTCCTTTGCTCTCCCAGCTTGCAGTCTAGTGTGAATCTCTGTGTGTAGTGTCTGCGCTGGGTTTAGAAGATGGTGAGAATCAGGATCCTGGCATCTCTTTCCTGTTTCTCACTTCATTAAATATTTACTTTTTAATATTCAAGTAAAGGATAACAGCAGTGCTTTTGTTCGGTAAGTTCAGGGAACAAATGTCTCATTTTCTGCAGATGGCCCCAATACCCTCTGTAGTCTAGACTCTGGCAGCAGGCATGAATTCCTATCAAGTGAAGAGCCCTTTGTTGCAGGCGTCAAAGGCATTACCACCCTCATGAAGTTATGGGGTGAATAGCATCCCGTAGGGGCCAGTGTGAAAAGGACAATGACCTGTCAGGCTATAGGTGACATGAGCCCAGTGACATAGAGTTCATCTACAGCCAAAAGCTTCTTTCCAGCTCTACTGAGATATGAATAAGAATTAAACCTTATATATATCTACTGCATAGCCCCTTATAATTTGATGTTCGTATACATGTGGCCCTTTGTCATATACTATATACACAAATCAACTGAAAATGTCATGACCTAAACAGGTATATGAAGCCATAAAATCAGAAGAGGAACATATGAAGGTAAAGCTTTGACACTGATGCAGGTAACCATTTCTTGGCTATGACACCAAAGGCACAGGCACTGAAAGGGAGAAGAGACAGATGGGGCTGCATTGAACGCTGAAGCATCTGCACGGCCAAAACAAGCCACTGAATGAAAAGGCAACCCAGAAGATGAGAGAACATATTTGCAAACCATAAGTGGTGGAAGGGGTAGATATCCAAATACATAAGGAAGTCAAACAACTCAACAGCAAAAAACAAATAACCTGTTTGAAAAACAGGCCAAGGACCTGGAGAGGCTTCTCTCACAAGAGCAGAGTGTTCTAAGGAGCGATTATTGCCTCTATTGGACACGTCAAGTAGGACAGGTGTATTTAGAAAGATATTCTTTGAGTTTCTCTATTAACTTAGCTGGTAGCCA